GCGAAGGGAGGTCATTCTATTTAGATACTGTTAAGTTATAATATAAACTACAATCCACTTCCATACCTCAAACACGTTACGCATCCACTCAAAACACGTACCATCCAAAACTCAACCTCTACCCAAACAACTCAAACCTCTACCCCAACCACCAAACCTCATCAACCCACTCCAAACCTCTACCCAACCACTCAAACTACCCAACCCACTCAAAACCCTACCCAACACTCAAAACTCTACCCAACACTCAAAACTCCTACCCAACCACTCAAAACCGTTATCAACTCACTCACATCCCCCCACCCGATCACTCTCTCCACTTGTTTAGAGTCGTCCTGGAGGCGCGTGCGCGTCGGCGCCGGGCGAGCTGCTGCTGGCCTGGCGGCGCGCCGGGACGCCGACGGGCGTTGCGCACCTCTGGCGGGCGGCGCGGACGCGCATGCGCACGACGAGCCGCTGGCGACTCGGGCTGCACACGCGGCGGCGCGCACGGCACGCCGGCCACCGTTCGAGCGCCTGCTGCAGGCCGGCGCGCCCGCGCACCTCCCGGCCGGCGGACTGCGGCGCGCCGCCTGGCACTGCGCCCGCGCCAACGGACACGCGCAGGTCGGGCAGCGCCGCCGACTTCGGTCTAGTGGCAACATTTGGATTTATTTACACGTAAATGAGCTGTCACGGTGTCAGCCAATCGGAAAGTTGAACGTCACCGTAGTGACATGCCCGATTGGATGACACAATAACAGCTGATGACGTGACAGAGGCAGCTGTAAATAAATCGTAGTATACTTGGCTGTCCGAGAGACGCCGCAGCCTAGGCACATGATCCATGGTTTCGGACGCCTTTCTGCGACCTTCTCAGGGCGATAGCCAATTAGCTACCGACTCCGATCGCTAAAAACTGTGCTCTTCGTTCGATTTAAGTCAACTAAGCCTTATTTTATCTGGCGAGGCTCAGGCCATCACGTCTTCTCTTCCACCTGACCGTTAATTCCGCTAAGCGTCTTTCGCCATCAAGCAGAGAAAGAATGTATCATTCCGAAACAGCCGAGTTTAATTTAGCTCAAAGGCTTCTTTCAGGCTTGAGGATATTTTACATGTAGAAAATCTACAACATTGGACGGACAGCTTTACTTCCCCTCCGAAGGATTCCGCTACATTGCGCTACCGCACGAAGATACGCACAGATAAGCCAGCGTCCCGACTCAGATTGATTGATTTAGTTTTTCCGGGCGCGTCAACTCCTAAGCACATGAGTTCCGGAAATGTAGTGCATGTTTTTATCGCTGGAGGTAGCGATGATCTTCCACCACTAGAAGGCGAGATCCATCGCAGCCGTTGGCTTCCGGGTTTTCATCAACCAAATATCCCCCACTAGCTCTAAGCTCCCGTCAAATGTGGTAGTGTAATACATGTGAGTGTATGTAAATAAGGGGTGAGAATATAGCAAGGAAGGGGAAGGCAAAATCGCTGTTCATGGCCCGTTTGTTATGGTACTGCTCCCGCATTCGTGTGGTGTTGATCAAAGAAACCACGAGAAAGTTCCGATTAGAGCAGCCGGCCGCTAGAATTCTCCTCCAGACAGCAACGCAATTCGACCTAACTCTGTAGCTAGTGTCGAAACACCTGCCACCATGGGGACTCGAACCTAGGACTTCCCGGTAGGTCGCGCAAGGTCCCCGCCTCGTTTGTTAGTGGACTGCTCCGGTTGATTGATTGATTAGTGATTCAGAGCTAATCAACGGCTAAGATCATCAGTTCTGTAAGTGTAGTGCAAGTATTTTTCGAAGACATGGGCTGTCCGGGTGTCAGCCGGCTCGAAGGAAAGCGTTTCTTTCCTTCCCCTTCCTTGCTATATTCTCACCCCTTATTTACATACACTCACATGTATTACACTACCACATTTGGCGGGAGCGGAACAAAAGGCATTGAAAAATGATGTCACAGGCTTCCGCGGCCAGAGTCATGATCTGGGCTGTCCAAGTGTCGCCGCGTCGAAAGCTGAGGTGTCGACGTTTCGACCAACATATCGCGATCTTTTTCTGAGCTGTAGTTCACTATGTTGGTCGAAAAGTCGGCACTTTAGCTTTCGACGCGGCGTCACTCGGACAGCCCAGATCATGACTCTGTCCCGGGAAGCCTGTGACATAATTTTCCCAAAGACTTCCGTTTATCGCGCGAGCTTTGCCCAGAATGATAAACATGTTTTCTGCCTATAATCTGACTAAACCCTTCGGCTCCAACTTTCTCGTCTTCATTACAAGTCTTACTGCAAGGCCTGACCCGCAGGCATTTTTTTCTGTATAGAATTGAATTGATGCCTTATTTTCCGTTCCTTGACTCAGGCCAACAGGCCCGCTCTTTCGTCTGACCACGCAAATTTCGGTACGCTCCTTTCATCCACTAGCGCGGAACTTGGGCGACAAAGCAGACGATTTGAATTTAGCTCAGCGGCTTCATTTGGGCTTTAGGATCTTTTACATGCAGTAAATCTACTAACATGGGACAGCCGGCTTTACTTTCCCTCCTAACGCAGGATTTTCGCCTTTCAAAATCCACAGCCTCGATCAGGGTTGAACCCGCGGACTTGGGTGTAACAGCCAACACTCTAACCGATGCACCAAACCCGCCCGCAGACTAGAATGTGACTAAATCCTTCGGCCGCATCTCTCTCGTCCTCCTGTCTAGGTGGCGCTGCGGCTGCTGGAGGCGGGCGCGCGCGTGGACGGGACGGACGCGCAGGGCGCCACGGCGCTGGCGCTCGCGGCGCGCGGCGGCCACGCGGCGGTGGCGGCGCTGCTGCTGGAGCGCGGCGCGCGGCCCGACGCGACAGACGACGGGGCGTCGCGCCGCCTTCCTCCGCGCCGCCCACGGCCAACCGCAGAGTGCTGCGGCCTGCTGCATCAAAGGCCGGCGTGCACGCCGACGCGCGCGGCCCGCAGGGCGACACGCTGCTGGTGCAGCGGCGCGCAGCGGCAGGTGGCACGTGGTGACCATGCTGCTCGAGGAAGGCGCCTCCGCCACCAGTGCAAGTACGTGCGGGCGCTCTGGCAGATTGTATTGTCCTTTGGCCCCTCAACCCTCTTCGCTCACACGCCAGAGGATCTGCTAAATTTCGATCGACCTCACCGCGC